CAATAGCCTTTGCTTAACAATGTATTTTGTGTTCAGAAATTTATTAAATATGAACAAAAAAGGGCAGCCCGGTGCACTAAGCTCCCGCTATATGCGGGGTTCGAGAAAGGGTCGGACCACAAGGGTCTATCGTACGCAGTCTTACCCTGCATTTCTGCAAGAGCCTGTTTCCACGGCTCGAACCCGTGAACTCCTGGTTACATAGCAACAACTTTATCAGTTACGCCAAGGTTCCCCTTCTCATTAAATATGAACAAATATTAAATCTAAAATCCAATCATTAGCACTTAAGCTACCTTTTGGAATTCATTTCTTGTGCATTAATTGACAGTGCATGAATCTCTTACACTATCAGGTTAAGTCGACTTACAATAATATTGAATTCTTTAATACTAGTTTGATTTTGTAATTTATAAAATAGAATAATAATATGTTATACTCGATTAAATTATACTATTAATATAAAAATAATTGTACTAATAATGTAAAAGGCCAACATCTGGGATCATCAATATCCATCTACTCACCACCTAAAGAGTGTGATTGATTGGTGAAATTCTCCTATCCTTAATCATATGTTTCAAATCTAAACCTCTAGGGATGAAAAAATTCCTCGCGGAGAGCGAATACCATCTTTATGCATTAAAAATAAATCTATCTACGCATTATCTTTTTCATACCTCACTTATGAAATAGTTTGTTGTCATTGTTGTTGTGCTCCACGCGTAATATCATGTATTAGTCAACATATTTCACTTTTTAAATTACAAATGATGCTTACTTCAAATATAAACAATTCAAGTAAAAAAAACTAGATAAACACAGGACATAACATCTGTCTATCACCCCCTCCTCACACTACCATTTTTTATAAGCATATATCAGATCCAAAAGGGTCTACCCATTCTGGTATGATTTCTTTATACTAAATTCTACCAATATTACAAAAAAAAAAGGAGAGAGAACATTCCAGTGGACGTCATTCCGCATTTATCTAATTGTTAGTGGATAATTTTATGGTTTGAACCCCTGACCATTGGGATATATGAAGACAACTTTACCCGTTTCCCTTCTCTACCAATATTACATAAACATATACAACTACATTTATTAAACTATAATTAATTTAAATACGTGCATACCACACCTTTCTTGATATTCAAGAAAATACTTTAGTTTGACATTATTTTCAATAATCACTTTCCATAAAAAGATCAGAAAGAGTAATCTTTCCAGAGTTACCAGTGTCCCATCTCTCAAAATATTTGCTGATCAACAATACATCTCTCTCTGTGATCTTTCCCAATTCCTTCAGTTTATATATCACATAATCTGATTTACTGCCACACACATGAGACTCAAAATTAATGCATAACCAAATCTAGCTTAAAACCCCATAAATAAATTTTGGAAATAATGAGTCAATGGCTAATGAAGAAACACAATTTAACTTAAACCTTGAAATTATTTTTGCACTTGACCCCTAATAGACTTTCAATTTGAGGGTAATTTTAAATCATAATCAAATATTAAGGGGTAAATTTTTAACCTTTATTCTCGAAGAATTGGAGAGTAAAACTTCTATACTATCTATTTTTACATCTTTCTTTCAGAAATTTACGAGATGCTATTTTTCTAGGGAGTTTGACTTTTCGATCGGCAAAAAGATGGTCGTGTGCCAATCAACTAGAAAAACATAAGCTTAACACGTCTTTTTCAAGCTTAACACATGTTTCTTCATGTTTTTCAAGAACTTCACTTAAAAGCCATGTTGCTCCCATGTTTCAAAAATATCGTCGGATGCGTGTTGGATCCTAAAAAATAAATAGTATATATTTTTGCAGGATCTTCTTTAAAAAATAGCCTCCCTATCTGCATAAGGTAGGGTAAAATCTGCGTATATAGTACCCTTCCAAACTTCACTTATAAAAATATACTGAGTATATTATTATATTTTTACAAGATCCGACACGAGCACTGCTCGATAATATTTTTTAACAGTCAAAGCAACATAGGCTAAAAGATGATCACTTAGAAAGGGAAAGGAAAAGTTTTTTACCTGACAAAACCATTATTATCAATGTCTGCAGCTTGAAAATGTTGAACAGTCAAATCTTGGTCTAGCACCCATTCTTCCAATTCCCTTTGCTTTTCATCAACTTTAACTTCAGCCAATAAAAGAAATGCTCTAGCAAAAGCTAGTGTAGAAACAAGCAACCAAATTGATGCAAAAATTCTTCCCCCCATTGATTTAAATACCTTTTCACCATATCCAACAGTAGTAACTCCAATAACTGAAAAATAAAATGAATCAAACCACCCAATCCTCTCTACAAAATGCATAAAAACAACTCCAATTCCAATACAAAAAACCAAAACACTCATTGCTAGTGCCACTTTGATTCTTGACCTTATTCTTTCCTTGTTCAAAGAATTCTTTTGAAAATCAAGAAAATATGTAACAAGTCCAGTGAGTAATATATTAATAAATCCAAAACCAACTAACACAAATAATATAGCAAATAATTTGGTAAGTGTACTATTTGGTTTTATATCACTATAACCAATTGTACATAAAGTTATTATGCAAAAATATAGTGCATCAATAATTGGATGAGTTTTTGTAGTGGACTTAAATTGATCATTGAAGAAAGAACATAGAGTTACACCAATAGTTAAATAAAGAATTAGAAGTAACATAGCTTGTTTTACAATAGAATTTTTTTTCACAATATGGATTGGATTTGGAATTGGTGATGGATAGTTTTCAATATCATTATATGTGGACATAGATGGATTAGACTTCGATTTGTAAAGGTATTTCTTTGGAAATAATGGATAATTTGAGTCAATTAAAATTGAACTTTCAAGATTGGATTGTTGTTGGTTTGAAGATGAAGAGGAAGAAGGGAGGAGAGGCTCTTTATCCATTTGGTTACTCTTTTTTGGTTTGCTTGAATACCAAAAATAAGGTGATCTTGTCTTAATATATAAAGACATGACTTAGGGTGTGTTTGCTATGTAGAAAATTTTCATATTTAGGCTCCGTTTGTCCATTAAAAAAATCCCTTTTCTTCAATTTTGTTTCTTCAAAAATGTGTTGTCCCTGAAAATTTGCAAGTTTTTGAAAAGAAGTCAAAAATGAGTTTTTCAAAAATTACTTTTTCAAAATTTACAGAAAAAACTTTTTTCCCCACTCACAAAACTATAAATTTTTTCAGTGAAATGCATGTCCAAACATAATTCAAATTTCAAATACCAGTTTTCAACTTAACTCCAAATACTACCTTTTTTCAAAATTTATAATTTTTTTGTTCAAATGCCTACATAGTTTGTTTAAATGCTTTGAAAAAGATTTTTCTTATAAATATAATTTTTTCTAATTTCAGGAAAATAACTTCCCAGGAAGGAGGAGGTAAACATTTTTCGAAACTCTTCAATTGATGTTTTCAATCCTCTCACTCACAGGGTCGGAATCCACAATATCGGGTATGGGTTATCGAGAGCTCAGTAAATTTTACCCGAATTTTGTATTTGCAAAGAGAAATCTATGAAATATATAAGTATTTTTAGTTTGGAACCCATAAGCAAAATTGTTGGTCCCATTGTACACTTCTTAAGCTAAGTTTCTGAATACTTGGGAGGGTTCGAATCCCATTGTACACTTCTTAATGTCTCTTTTGTTTTTTTTCACCGGATAGTACCCATAGCCACTTTTTGTTTCTCTTTTTCTTTTAAAAACTGACTCAACCAACATTAAAAAACTTTCTTTACTTGCTAAAAGTGTCACGTTTGGTCAAATGCTAGGAGCTCCTCACCCACTGCCCCTATACCATCCTTTTGGCCGAAAATGAATTTTTTATTTAGAAAAACATATTCTAATAAATTATTTTTCGTTGAACATAGTTTTCTTCGTACCAAACACACCCTTAAACTTGACTTGTTTTGCAGCTTGAACACCTAAACTATGCTGGGCCATAAATAAATTACAATTCTCAGTGTTAACGTGGCACAACATTAAAAAATTAAGTAATTTAATTTTCTTTTTTAATACATGCATTACTGGGACACCATTTTGGTTAGCGAGGACTCTACAATTAAACAAGTATCATTTTATTTTAAATTCAACATTTTTTATGTTCAAAATCCACGCATTTTTCTAATCTATTTTCCCTAACCAGATCTGCAATGAGCTTGACAAGAAATTCATTTTTATTGGCGTAGCTAAAGTACTAAAGTTTAAACAAGCAGCATTTTATTTTTAATTAAATAATTCTTCTAACTCACTTTTGTGGAATCCATTTTTTTTTCCAGCCAATGAAAGATTTAGGTGCATTGAAGCTTTCAAACTTTGTTAGGTAAACAAACGTCAACCTTAATCTAATTCGCGCTGAGTCGTGTAAACTTGTTAACTTGACATTGCACTGCTCGAATATATTTAATCATTATCTCCGTGTGACCTACAAGGCACAAGTTCGAGTCGTGGAATCAACAATTGATACTTACGTCAAGGTAGACTGCCTAAATTACATCTCTTGGAATGCGGCTCTTCCCAGGACCCTGCATGATTGCGAGATATTTTGTGCATCGTGCTGCCCTTTTTGCATTCTTATACAGCAATCTCACGCATAAAGGGAGCTTAGTGCACCGAATTATCTTTTTTTATTCTTAGCGTGGAGGAATGGTGACCTTGGTCACATAGTCGAATCCAAGATTTAAGCTCTATGGTTTCAACCTTAAGATTCTTAGTATGAACTCATTATCTAATGAGCATTGATATTAATCATTCAGAAGAAAATTAATCAGCCCTCTTCTTTTTTATTAACCCATGG